CCCTAATAATGAACAGTTTCGAATTGATTAACAAATTAAACGGACTCCACGTAGACCAAGAGTACGATATCATTTCATTAGATGTGATATCACTCTTCACTAATGTACCGATAGAATTAGCTGAAGAAAGTATATTAAAACGGTGGCATCACATAGGTTCAAAATGCACAATTCCATGTGACGAGTTCTTGTTGGCTATTCGGTTTGTATTAAATTCCACATTTTTTTCTTTTGACAAAACATTTTACCAACAAACCTTTGGCACACCCATGGACTCTCCACTATCACCGATTATAGCGGACATTACTATGCAGGACCTCGAGATTAAAGCACTTGAAGCCCTGACGTTTGTTCCACCTTTTTACGTCAGATATGTGGACGACATCGCGATGTCGGTTCCTTCTTCACAAAAAAATTCCACACTCGAGACATTTAATTCTCTCCACAGTAGAATACAATTTACTTTAGAAGAAGGAACCAACAAACACTTGAATTTTCTCGACACCACTATTATTGTTAGAGACGACACGATTGAATTCGATTGGTACCACAAACCGACGTTTTCTGGCAGATACCTCAATTTCGCGTCGTCTCAACCGTTGTGTCACAAAAAGGGCACCATTAAATGCTTAACCGACCGAGCAATACTTTTAGCCCATCCAAGATTTCAACAAAAAAATCTCAAATTCGTAATTGATATTTTACTTGAGAACGGCTACCCCCTCCCCCTTATTTTTCAAACAGTAAGGGAGAGAATAAACAATTTAATCAGAAATCAAAAATCAAATTCCACGGCAGCCACCATTACGAATATAACTAATAACGATAAGGGCAGATTTTTCAACATTCCGTATATCCCAAATATATCTGAAAAGTTCACACAGGTGGTCAAAGATCTCAATACAACTCTATCATACACAGGTTTACAGAAACTCAGAAACTTTATCAAAGTTCATAAAGACCCACTTCCAACGCTCGCACGCAACAATGTAGTTTATAAAATCTCATGTAATGATTGCAACGCATCATACGTGGGCCAGACCGGTAGAGTACTAGCCACTAGAGTAAATGAACACCGCAAACATATTAATAGAAACACGAAGCAAATATCAGTCATAACGGAACATAGACAATCTGGCCATGAATTTGACTGGGATAATGTTGAAATCTTGGATGAAGAACCTTTTCTTTACAGGCGTCTCATCTCAGAAATGATTTATATTAAACGCCAAACTAACGGCCTCAATTTACAAAATGACATGGATCTCCTGGGTGATTTATACAACCTAATCATCCAGGACCTAAATAGAGTTTGACTATTCATTCATTTATTTATTTATTTATTTATTTATTTATTTATTTTTTCTTATTTTAAGTTTACCATTTTAATTTCCATGGATTATATTTCCATTTTAATTTTTTTTTACCAACTCTTTACAAGTTTAACATTTCAACCTTTAACATTCTGACACAAGTTTAGTTAGTTTTTAATTATCGATGAATGTCCACCATATTCAATTTTGAATTTTAATCAAGCTCTGTTTGAGTTGAAACTCTGGATATTCAAACGTCATTTATTGAGTTTTAAATTTTTAATGACTAATTTTTTACATCCATTATGTCTTAATTTTATTTTAAGTTAATTTTAATTTTACAACTTTAATTTTTCATTTACATTTTATTTCGTTGACCAAATTTATTAACTTATTACAATTTTATAATTTTAACACAATTGTTAATTTATTATGACGTTTGACATGTTTAGACAAATTGTGAATTTTGCGCCGTTTGTTTTTCAGTAAACGACGATACATGACCAATGTCTTGTTTACCACACTTATTTAAGTCGCACTTCGATATTGCTGTGTCACAGTCGTGTTAAATCCATTACAACGAATTCATCTCAGTCGACGTGTCTCCAGTTCTCTTTATGTCCGGGAACATTTAGAGAAGAAGCATGAGACCATGATAGAAAAAGAGATTCTCAAACCATATATTTAACGAGGTAACATGATCATCCACCAAATCTATCGAAACTACCAATCTATTATAATACATTGTACTCACATCCTGTATCTTTATTATAGTTATACTGAGGAAGACCCGAAACAGGGTCGAAACGTTTACATTAAAGAGAGAAAGTACTTATAAATTTGTGAGAACCGTCTTCCGTTCATTTGTTGGCTCGCATTGGCACTTTTCCCCGTTCCATATAATTTCTAAGAAAGAATGTTGCCCCAGCGCTACAGCTATAACAATTACAGAATGCAGCGCTGAAGTAAAATTGCAAGCATTGTTAGATCACACTGTCCAACGAATATTGCTGATACAGAAAGATGTGATAAAGAGCCCCACATCAGATAATGTTCGTAATGTAAATTTAATTTGTAAGTGGGGATGCGACGGTACTTCTGATCAAAGTAGTTTCAAGCAAAAATTCGATGATGATACTGATGGCAATAAAACAGACGCGAATATATTTTTCACTTCGCTTGTACCGCTGCAACTTATATCTATTGATAAAGCTACGAAAAAGGAAATTATTATTTGGAAAAATCCTCGGCCTTCGTCCCCTCGATTTTGTCGGCCAATCAAAATTGAATTTTTGCTTGAAACTGTTGAAAGTACGAAGCTCGAAGTAGATAAAATCAAAGAGCAAGAGCGCTATCTTACTCCACTACAAACAATTGTTGACGGAAAAGAAATTAATGTAATACATATAAATTAGCATTGACAATGATCGATGGCAAAGTTTGCAATTCATTGACCAGCACATCTTCCAGTCAGAGATGCTACTGTTACGTCCAGTGGACTTCACGATTTCTTTCTTTCTAAAAATAGCACTGCGACCGATCCCTCAATAGCGAGACAGTAAGGAAATG